CGCCACCGCCCTGCTGGGTGCTTTGGGGGGGCTCGAAAACGCGCAGGTCGCGCTGCACCTCCTGCGCCAGTGCGCCTCCTTCTGCAAGCTGGGCTACTCCGCGCGCGCGGTGCCGCCCACCGCGCACGCCGCCCCCCTGCTGGCCATGGGCGACGCTGTCCGGGCCTGCCTTGAGCAACTGAGCGGCTGCTCGCCCTCCGACGCTTCTCGGCAGCAGGCCCAACTCAAGTTCAGCAAGGGAGGACTTGGCCGGCGGCCTGCGCTCTGCCGCGAAGCACGCCGCCGCCTACATCGCTTCCAGAGCGAAGAGCACCCACCGACCTCCGTCGGCAGCTCTACCCCGGCTACTCCAACAACCCCGACCGCGACGGAGGTAGCCTGGCGGCTGCGGCGCAGGCCCACAACGAAGTCGCGCGGGACGCCGACCGGGTGGCGTTCGACCACGCGCAGCACGGCAACCAGAAGGCCTTCTCCGACGCGGTGGACAGCGCCGCGCTCCACGGGCCTCTGGCGGGCCCCACCTTGGCCGGCAAGGCACGCCTCTCTCTGGTGCAAGCCCCGGGCGCGGCCGCGCGGCTCCAGGCGCCGACCTGCGAGGTCACCGGCCCCGCCTTCCCGCGCGGCCTCATGCAGGTCGGCTGGCAGAGGCGGCTGCGAGTCCAGCTCCTGCAGGAGGAGTGCTTCTGCCCAGCGCGCGGCGAGGTGATGGACGTCTTCTGCGACCGCGCCCTGGTCTGCGCCTGCCGCGGCGACTGGACCAAACGCCACAATGCCCTGCGCAACCAGGCCTGCTTCGACGCCCTGGCCGCCGGCCACGCCAGGGCGGAGTTGGAGCGCCTGGGGCTGCCACCCCCGCGCCCCGCCGGGGAGGCCACCCCCAGGGGCGAACAGGGCGGGGCCCAGGTGGGCGACAACGGCCGCCACGCTGCCGATGTCCACGTGACGCTGTGGCGCAACGGCACGGCGGCCGCCTGGGACCTTGCCGCCACGTCAGGGATGCGCGCCGATCTCCTCGCCGCGTCGGCCGCTTCGTCAAGCGCAGCGACGGAGCGGCACGAGGAGTTCAAAAGGCAGCACCAGGACACCGCGCGGCTCTGCGCGGCACAGGGCTTCACCTTCCCTCCCATGGCGGTGGAAGCCCACGGCGGCGGGTGGGGCCTCGAGGCACGCAGGGCCTTCGGGGTCCTGGCCTTGCCGGGCAGCACGGGCGCCCCCCGCGCCCTTTCGCCAACGTCGGCGCCGTCCGGCCCTTCCTCGGCGGGGCGGTGGATGGATCCCGCAGAGGGCAATCCCCACCAAGCCGCATCGTGCTGGGCTCGGGCGGCCACCCCGCCCAGGTCGCCGCCGTAGGGTCCCTAGCCTCGTCGCGGGTGGCTCTTCTCTCCCGGCCCCTGGCCGGGCGTGTCTGCTTGCGGTCGCTGCTTTCCCGCCTCATTGTCCTCCTCCTGCTTCCCTCCATTTCCGTTCCTTCTGCTCCCTGCCTGCTGTCCCCGTTTGGCCCCTCTTCTGCCTGCCCGCTTGCCCCGCAGGCCCTGTTCTCCCGCCTGGGCGTCCGTCGTCGTCTGCCTGCTTCTTTACCATTTGATCACCCCTTGTCAATGTGTCCCAGCTCTTCTGGCCACACGTTGCGCGAGGTTTGGGCACATCGTCCTGGTAATTTTTACGGTGCGCAACTCAAGACGCCGTCTAGCGCATGGAACGCGATTCGGGAGTTCTTCGACCCCTTTCGTCAGGCATTGGCCGAAATGGCCGCCGCGCGACGCACGCACACTATACACGCACGCGCGAAGAGGCAACATGCGAATGCGACAGCGAGGGGCCCCCTGCCATGGTCTGGCCCCACAGCAGCGGGCCCGGGGGAGGCAGCCCCCCCCTGGCGGGCTTCGACGGCCGGACCGCCACCGCGCCAGAGGGCGGCAGGCGCGGGTGCGGCTTCGCCTCCGCGGCCTCGCCACGGGCACCACGTCAGCACTGACCAGGAGCAACGTTGGGCGGGGGATAGGCTCATGGAGCTGGACGTCCCAGCGCCACACATCCAGGAGCCTGACACCCAGGAGCCGCACATGTGACATGAAGGAGCTGGGCATCGGACCTCCAGGAGCCGAACATCCGGGAGCAGGAGCTGGACATCGAGGCGCTGACCACCGAGGAGCCAGACATCAAGAAATCAGACATCAAATGATCGGACATCCAGGAGCCGCACATCCAGGAGATGGATATCAATGAGCTGGCCATCCAGGAGCCAAACGCCAAAGAACCGCACGGGCTGGAGCTGGACACCAAAGAGCCGGCCATCCAGGAGCTGGGCATCAACGCGGAGCTGGACGCCAAGAAGGCGGACATCCAGCAGCCAGACGTACAGGCGCTGGACATCAAATAATCTGACATCAAGGAAACGAACATCAACCAAGGAGACGAGCACCACGGAGCCGAACACCCAGGAGTTGGGCATCAACGCTGAGCTGGACGCCAAGAAGGCGGACATCCAGCAGCCAGACATCAGGGCGCCAGACGCTCAGGAGCCAGACATCAAGGGGCAGGAGATCAAAGAGTCGGACATCAATTGGTCGAACACCACGGAGCCGAGCACCCAGGCGCCGGCCACCGAGGGGCGCCACTACCGAGGAGCCGGACACCAGCGCGGAGCCCGACGCGCCGAGCGACGGCCTCGCGCCCACCGGCCGCCGCGGCGCAGCGGCCTGCGCCGCGCGTGGCCGCGCGCCGCCGGGGACCCCGCCGGAGCTCGGGGCGGACTGCCGCGAGGAGGCCGTCTTGGCATCACTCGGGCGCGCGCCCTTTCATCGGCGAGGACCATCGAGGAACGATGGAGGATGACGATTAACAAATGACCGGGGGTCGTGTTCACGCGGCGGCGCCCGGGATGACGATTAGAAAAAACCGGCCGCGGGCTGGAAAACTATTTCTTTAATCGTTCTCCTCCAGTCAGAAAATCGTGCAGAAATAGCAGGAAACTATTTGTGTAATCGTTCTCCCCCATTTTTATTAATCGTCATCCCGCATCACCTTGGCTCGCCATCGCGCACGTCAGCGCGCCCCGGAGCGGCATACAAAGGTTCAAGGTCATCGGAAGTTGTCGTCGGGTCTCGAGCTCAGACATGATGGCGTCGTAAAAAGATCAGGACGGACGGTTTCTCGCTATTTTCGGCCCCTGGGGGCCCTCGCCGGGCCTCGGGACCGTCAAAACAACGGTTCAGGATGAAGAACCGGCCCCAGGGAAAGGGTCTGGACTTCCCAGGGACGCCGTCCCGAAAAAATCGGGACCTCGCATGCCTGGGGCAGGGTTCCACAGCTTCGGGGTGCCCTCCGGCAGCTGCGCCTCGCCGAGAGCGTGCGGAGGGGTGCCAGGATCGCCACGGAGGGCCGCCGGAGGCCCGAGGTGTGTCCCGAGAGCCAGTTGGGACGGGGGTCTGGTCGGACCGACTGTACAAGATCGAGGTCGCTTCGGGGAGGGTGCCCTTGGTGTTCTTCGCGTCGGGTGGGTGCTCTTGCGCATCTCGGGGAGGGCGCCCTTGGATGCCCCGTGGGCTATGGCCGACGGGGGGTCGTCGTGTTCTTGAGGGTGTTACACCTTAGGCGATGCTTAAGAAAACTTAAGTTTTCGGCCAGAGTCTCGATTATTCTTAACGTTTCAATGTAAATCTTAAGATTATAGTATAAACGTTGGGTTGTTATTCAAGTTCTGAGACTATGAATTTCTTAACCCATGATTTCTTAAGCATTTCGCAGGGTGTTATCCTGGCCTGGGTCCGACTGTGCGCCAAGACCATGTGAGCGACGCGGGGAAACAGGGTCGTCTGCGCGGACGTGGGCGCGTGAGCTTCCCGCGTAAGGTCGCGCGTGAGCACCCTCATCTCCAAAGTGTCAGGAGGAAAAGAAACACACAGACACAATGAATCGTCGATTCCCAGGAAAATATGTGAAAATATGGGGCACATTTTTATTTGTGTGTACTTATTTGTGTGTCCTGGGGCCCCTTCAAAGTGGCATGCCGCGCTGGCGGCCCGCGCAAGTCGTGGCGTGAGGTCGCAGTGCCACATCGCGAGAGAACTGTTTCTTCCCGTCGCTCGTGTGCTGCCAGGGCGCTACAGGCGGGCCACAGCCTACGTCAAGGGTCGGGCTTGCCAGGGCGGAGCGCTCTGGCAGATCTCCCTCGAACGCGGGGGGCCGATGCTCCGGGAGCTGCGGGGTGGGCAGGCTAGCCGCCGGGACAGCCTCCAAGAGACATCGGGAGCGCAGCGCCGCGGTTTGGGATGCTAACCTTCGAGCCTGACACAGTGGCGCCGGGCCCGGACACGGGCCGTCGTTGGCGGCGGCCGCGCCGCCTGGCCGTGTCAGGCCCGGGCGGAAGCTACGAGGCGGTCCGACAGGGAGCGGGCGCTGTTTCCCACCTGGCATCGCTCGGACGTGTGCATGTTTCCTTCGGCGAGGACCATCGAGGAGCATCCTTGATCATCTGGCGAAGAAGCCACGCACGAAACCGAAAAAAACACAGGGAATGGACGTCCGAGCGATGGCCAGCGCCCACGCCGCCCTCCGGGGCACTCCCCCGGCCCCCCTCCCCCCGCCCAGCAGGTCTGGGCGGGGCTGGGGGAGCGTCTGAGAGCGGGCGTGTCGCGGCTTCCCGCCCTGCCACTCCCCCCCCCCCCAGTGTGCTCGTGGTGGTCGGTCTCTCCCTTCCTCCGCCGCTCGCGCTGCGGCTCGCCTGGTCGAGTCTCGGCTGCGTCAGACGAAGAGGAGGAGGAGAAGTGGCGAAGGGAGGAGGCGGAGGAGCGAAAGGAGGAGGCGGAGGCGGAGGCGGAGGCGGAGGCGGAGGCGGAGGAGGAGGAGGAGGAGCGGAAGGAGGAGGAGCAGGAGGAGGAGGAGGAGGAGGAGGAGGAGGAGGAGGAGGAGGAGGAGGGAGGGGTGAGGACGGCGGGGTCTAGCGCGGGTCTCCGAGGTCTCTTGTGTGCGTCCGCGCCGCTTCGCCCTGCCCCTGGGAGGCGAAGGTGGCCAAGAGGACGGAGGCGCGGGAGGCGGATCACCAGCGGCACCTCGAGGAGGGGAGCTCACGGTGACATGAGCATGAAAACGCGGAGGTCCTCGCGGACTCCTCGGATCGGCGCTGGGGCCCCCTGGCGCGCGAGGGGCCCAGCGCCGACCCGAGGAACTCCGCGCGGACCTCGGAGTTCATATGCGCATGTCATTGTTTGTTCCCCTGTCGAGAAGAGCGCGGACATAGTCAGCGCGATCGACGCGTGCAGCCGCGCCATCGAGGCCCTCAAGGAGTCCAAGTCTGCAATGGGGGGCAAGGCCGGGCGCCCCTTCGCCACACCCTCGTGCTCCCTGCTTGCCTGGGCCCTCCTCCGCCGCCTCGCTCTCGTACCTGCCTCCTCCTCCTCCTCCTCTTCTCCTCCTCGCCCTCCTATCTCCTTCTGCTCCTGGTCGTCATCGTCGTCATATGTCGCCCTTCCCCCCTGCTCCGTTTGCTCGTCCCCCGTCGCCCTCTTTCTTTTCCTCCTTCCGCCTGCCTCCCTGCTCGTCTTGCTCCTCCTTCATCCCTCCTCCTCCTCTCGGATCGGACAGCTGGGAGAGATTCGGAAAGGGGGGTACAACATCTGGTGCATGCAAGTGGCTTCGGCCCCACCGCCAGGTGCTTTCCTCGTTACCTTGGCGCCTCCGGCGGTAGGAGGCGCTGGAGGCACCAGCTGCGTGAGGCGATTCGTTGACCTTCCGTTTGCTGTCCCCCAGTCTCGTTGGCCTTCCCTCCGTCCTCCAGCCTTACTTCCATCTCTCCATCATTCCATCTCTTCCTCTCCATCCCTTCGCCCCTCCCTCATCCTCCTCCCCATCCTCCTGCTCCTCCCCCTCCGCCCGCTCCTCCTCCCCCTCCCTCATCCCCTTTTTCTTGACGTTGCGTGGACCTAGCTCGGATGATCGTGGCGTCTGGCGGCTGGGAAAAAAGACCCGACTTGGCCATGCGGTAAAATGCAGATCAGCCTGGCGGGCGCAGCGGAAAAAGAGGCAGGCGTAAAGAACGGTGCAGAAGAACGAGTGCGAGTATGCGCCCGCCAGGTGGCATAAGCATCAAGCCTGGAGTACCTTCGTAGTCCCCCACCCCAAATCAGTGAGCCAAGCAGAAGTAAATCGGGCGAGGAGAACTATGCGAATGCACCGATCCTGACAACGCCCATCCTTGACCCAGGATCGGTGCATATACCTTCCTGGCCAAGGTAAGAGGGCGTATGCACCGATCCTGGGCTCAGGATGGTCCTGGCCAGAGTCGGTGTATGTGCATAGTTCTCTTTCCTCTAGTAAAGTGTCCACCCCACATCACCCGTAGTATTGCCCAGGCAAGCCGTGACAAGCTGAAATGAACGTGCGGTGCGAAAAGAACGGGCGACTCTAGAGTGGCGCGGGAGGCTGGCGATAAGAATGCAGTGCCTGATGTTACCACGTTGACCCCTTCCTCCATACACCCACCCCAAAGCCTCCCCTGTTTCTAGGTTCAGGCTTGCAGCACATGTGCGACTGAGGATCGCATAAAACAGAACGTACAGAATGATGCTGCAAAATGTATGGCAATAAGACGAGCGTGAAAAGGCTGGCCTGTGCAGGCTGGCCTGTGATGTCAGAGTAGGGGCAAAGGTTAAGGAAGAGAGGAGAGAATGATGATGCTGCAAAGGACAGAGCGCAGCAGAATGAGAAGTGTCAACTGGTAAAGTGTCACTGCGACGGCGATAGTGATTGAAAGTGTGCGGCCCGCCCAGTATAGGAGGGCCAGGAAATAAGCTACACCACACCACACCACACCACATACCCACTCCTAAACCTCCCCAGTGTGTACGTTCAGGCTTGCAGCTAATGTGCGACAGAGGATGGCACAAAGCAGTAAAATGAAGTGGCGTAAGAGGCAAGGCTGGCTAGAGCGAGCGCAAGTGCAAGCGGTGGCAGTTCTTGGTTGCAGCCTAGGGTTTTTGTCGGTTCACCCCTAACCTCCATGGTCCCTGGACCCGCGTGCTGTTTGTTGATTATTCTCGGGTTTGGCGCGAACCCGTTGTACCAACAAGTGCTGCTGAGAGTGGCAATAATAGTGTGCTGGCTGGTACTGCTAGCCGCGCAGAATAGGCTAGCGCTGTAAAGGCTGGCCTATGTAGGCTGGCCTGTAAGTCTCAGTGGTAGCTTAAAATCTGGAGCCAGAGATGTCGAAGTAGAGTGCTGAGACTAACCGAATCAGAGTAAGAGAGATTGCTGGTCTCGCAGTTGACAGCCTCCACCCCCATTCCTCATGCAATTCCTGTTGGCCGGCGCTGCCAGGCCAGTGACAGGAAGCAGAGTTAAGCTTGAATGGAGGGGGGGTGAAGACGTGAGAGTACGTAAGGTGGGGGAGGGCGGTCAGTGGCAAAGTAGCGGGCGAAAGACCCTGTCCTATTTTGCTCTGGCTCCGCCTTGTGGCGGTGGTGCAGCGGGTGATGCGCCCTGGCCTGCGCTTGCTGGCAACTCCACGTCTTCCCTCCCCCACCAAATCATGATGCCCACACGTGCACCCAGTACCCAGAGGAACAGGGGAGAGGTAGGCGGCCACTGTAAGTCACTGCTGTTGGACGTGCAGCTGCAAGTAGGAGCAAGACAGTGAGCTGGACTCGATATGTCAATGCAAGTCAACTGTCGCGTCGACAGATGCCCGCTGTGCATTAAAGGTGACCATCTTGAGTTGCACGGTAGCCATGTTGTCTTCTGTAGTGATGGTCGCTTCGTGCGTGCGCGTGTCGGCGTCGGTCTGCTCTCTTAGAGCCGAGGTGGTGTAGATGGTTGAGTTACGTGGGCTAAGTAGTGTGGTCCGTCTTGTTGGATCATCGGGTGAGCGTGGTGGTCGTTGGTGCGGTCTTTTTGGTGTATGGTCCAGTGAATGTTCTTGTGGTCGGATAGTCGGTCTTGTAGGAGTGTATCGGGTTGAGGGAATCTTGTGTCCGCCGCAGTGTGTCCGCGTTGGAGTGGACTGTTGCATGCTTGTTTTGTTATTGAGTCTGAAAGATCGTTCCACGGATAGTCAGCATGTCCGTGCATGGGATGCATTGACATGAAATGTTGTTCGCGCGCTTGGTGGAAGTTTACTTGTGCAATCCGTGTGATTGGTTCGTCGTTGTGGGGTAGTTGGTTAAATATGTGAACGGCGTTGGCTGGGTCTGTGTGTAGCTGCTTGTGCAGATTGGGCGGCTGCTGCGCAGCGCATAGTATTGCCCAGATGATGGCGGCCAGCTCTATTCTTGTGCTATCGAGTTGGCTTGTGTCGATGGTGTTTCGGGTGTTGGTCATGATGCTGCCTGCGTAGTACCCGCGCATGCTAGGTTCGTGGTCGTCGTACCTGGGGGCTACAAACGCCCGTGCTGAGTTGTCCATGGTTGTTTGTAATGAGCCGTCAAGGTGAATGAGGAATGTGGATCATGTGGGTAGACGTTGGCTGTAGAGTGTAAGTGCTGCTTGAGTTGTTGGATGGAGTGTAATGTTTGAGAAGTCGTGCTGTAGAATTATTCGTTGGCTAGCTTCGCTGAGAGAGGTGAGCAGGTGCTCGGGAATGGCCTGTTGGAGATGATGATACGTACTACGCGTCCTGCCGGTGGGAGAGGAGGAGTCGCCTGTGTCGCTAGCTAGGCGGCTCATAGACCTTCCTCATCTGACCCCTTGGTGGGTCAGGCACGGGATTCCTAAACTAGTGGCGTCGGTTTCTTGGCTATTGGTAAGAGATGCAACTTGGGTGAAACCGTTGTTTGTCACCAGGGGCTCAGCTGGTTGCTAGTTTTTGTTGTTTGCATTGGTGACCAGAAAGTTGCGGTCGGCCGTGAGTCAAAGTCTACGTCGCATTCTTCCTCTGCTGGTGCACGCTGCGATGCATGTCTGGATGGTGAGCAAGATGTGTGAGGCCGATCGCTCGGACTCGACATGATCGTAACGTTGCGCTGCATGGCCAGTGTCTGCGCTGCTGCAAATTGATGTAGTGGGTCGCATCGTTATTCGGTCTCCTGCTGGCGTGGAGTTGTTACGTATTGCGGTGTGCCGACCATAGGCATCGAGTGTATAGTCGTTGCGTGTCTACGCTCTGGTGTATGCGGTTGTGGTGTGCTTGTTGGATAGATCTCCGTGGGCGTGGTGGGAGGTGCTTGTTGGTGTGGTGATCTTGGGGAGCACTGCTCCGTCGGCATGATAGGCGGATCTGGTGATGATTCGACAAGCCGTGGTGAAGATGGTTGCTGTAGTAGGTTAGGCGTGTCCGAGTCGTGCTGCATTGGGATGCATGTGCTGGGTGGCGTCGTTGTGAAGCCGTCATTCGTGTTGTCCTCCTGGTCGTGAATGTCGTCGAAGTCGTCGTCCATGATGTCTCCGAATTCGCATTGTAGTCGGCTGACTTCGTCTTCTGCGTGTGTTCGTTGTACTTGCTGTCGTTGTACTTCGTCTCGTTCTTCCTGTTCTTCCAGCAGCCGTTCCTGTTCGAAGAGGCAGCCGATGCGGGTCTCTTCGTCAATGTCCGTATCGTGGCCGGGTATTTGTAGTTCTTGTCTTGGACGAGATTCGCGTTGCCTTCTGTTGTAGTTATTTTGAGGTTTTCGTGGTAATGTCGTTAGCTTTTTTTTTTCGTTGTGCCACTCTTCAGATTGTACCTACGCTGCCGTGTACTTCTGTATCGTCGTCTGATGTTGTTGTACGCATGCTTCGGTTCCTTGTTAGTATTGTTCTATTGTCAGAAATCGCTGCTGGCAGTGCTGGTTGGTCATCTTGAGTTGCTCTGTCGCGCTGGCCATGATGAGGTGTGCTGCGTGCTGGCCGTTGTATTTGTTGAGTCGGTTGCTGTCTGCTTGCTGAAGCCGCTGGGCGGCATGCACTGCTTGTGCTGCCGTAACCTCCTGACCAGACGCTGCTTGTGCCTGGGCCCGCTGTGCTCCGTCGGCTGCGAACCGTCGTGCGTGGCCGTGGTGTTGCTGCGCGTGCTGTCTGGATCTGTCTTGTTCCGCGCGTGCGTTCCTGCTTCAGTGACTGTACCTCCTGTTCTACCAACGGCATGCGCGGGGCGTTTTCCGTTGCGCACGCGCGTCGTGCTGAAGCCGGTGGTGGTGGTGTGCCTGCTGGACGGGGCGCTGCCTGCCGCTCCTCTGCCGCGGGTTCTGCGCCGGGGTTGGCCCGTGCATTGCTGCTGGTGGTTGCTGGCTGTTGTCGGCGTGGTGCTGCCTGCTTGGCTCTCTTAGCTGTCGTCGCAGCTCAGCCACTGCCGCTGCAGTAGGTTCGTCCAGTCTCCTCTGGGCGAAGTGCGAGTTCTCGGA